AGCACGTTGAATTCATGAAAGAGCGTATAGATATTGCTAGGGCAATATGGCTATGATTTGGATAATAAACCGATATTATTGTAAACGATTGAAAGGCTAAGCTTTACACAGTTCCTTCTGATGATATACAAAGCGAGGAACTAACCGAACCTTCCTCAATTAGTTTTGAAAATATATTTGACTACGATAGGATTCCTTATGTAGATGTCCATTCTCGTAGCCGAATTTCAGTCTGACATATTATTACCATATACGTACCTTCACATTCTCCTGTATGTTGGTCACATACCCCATCCTTACAGTTGTCAGGGCATGTGGTGTCACAGAAGCTTCCATAGTTCCCGTTCACACAAGCTGAATCAGCGTTTATTACAATGTAATAAGCATTTTCACTCACATTTCGAAACAAAAAGATGTATAAGCAATTTGCGTGTTATATAAGGTATGTAGTTTTAGAATGTCGACTCTGATCATCAAATTCACTTCTCAATCGTAGAAAGGTGCAACAACGTATAAGCATTTCAAACACTGATTTGATGGTGTATAAATCCTTACGTGAGTAATACTCCTTTTTGTAAATAGAAATGAAGTTATTTTCTGAGTTACAGGCACATGTATTAAGACAATTTCAATCATAACAATGAAAGTAAAATGAATCCAATGTGCAATTAGAAATGACACAGTACTTACATGCGCAAACGCCAGTCTCCACATCGCATATTTTCCCGAAACAATTATCAAAACATCCTACACACACAGTCCCGCTTTTGAAAAATCCTTCTGCACAATCTAGAAATGATTTGATATTTTGTCAGGAGTAGCATACACCAAGTTTACTATAAAGATACGACTGTACATATCAGAACCCCAGAGAATCGTTTAAAACGACGAAGTAAGCACTATCAATAGTTGTACAGGTACTTCAGGGGATTTTATACATGTTTACATAAACTTTTAATGAAACCAAAACACTGTAAAACAAATTAATGTTGATATCGAGGTAGGAATTATATGAATGTCTGCATTTCGGTGTGACTTACCAAACGTTACATTTATTTGACACTCATGGATAATGTGTCATATTTAAAATTAATATTTTTCTATTTTCAGTTTTTTTTTTCAACAAAAAACTTCCTTTTCGAGCATAAGACAGCTGCTCAGCACAATGTACGAAGGTGTTCAGATATCAAAATTCATTTTCTAGAATTTCTGCTATAAATATAGAGAAATATGTTTAACCCAAAGGTGCATGTAGATAGTTGTATGAATAACCATGATAAGCTTTCAGGAGTCATACCATCATACATAAAAAATATTATTTTCAATAATATATATCACCAGAGAGATAGAGAGAGAGAGACTTTAAAACGCGTGATTTGTTTTGTACTGATTTTGAAAATAAGTAACAGTTATTGGTAACAGTTACGTTCTCTAACTGGAGAATCTATTTCTATATCAAGACTAATCAGTATCATATTGCTATCGTAGTCTGAATTTGCTTTTACGTTCGTGCAATCAACGAAGGAAAGATTTATTGACATTATAAAAATATTAAACGTTACACTTTTAGCTTAAACAGATTTGGTTAAAATCAAGTGCTATACATCCCTGTTATTACATGAAGATATATTAACAGTGAAGTTCCATTTCAAGATTTTAAACAATTTATTTTAGCATTCCAACAATCTGGGGTTGAAAAGATTAAAGACCTGTTACATAATAGATTTTATTTTCTATTTTTGAAAATATTAAAGTTCAGTCAAATGACCTTTATTCAATACTTTGCTCTGAAAAGTAAAATTTCCAAAAATAAATTACATGAGTTACGACAAAATAGAGATATAATTACTCCTAATGATGAAGCAAATTTATCTGATTTTCAGAAAATAATGGTTCAAAATGACTTGAAATTTGTATATAAATCCTTATCTGAACAAACATAAGATAGATCCTGTAGGAAAACAAGCCAAATGGAATGAGAGATTTAAATGTGAAATAGAAACTAAGATGAGGTGTCGAATTATATATACTTACATGTACATCAGAAACAAAAATGTTTTCAGGGTAAACACTACACAGAATTGTTGACTACAGAAGTTTTTATATAAAATCAAAATTACTGGTGATGATAAATGTACATTTTGTTGTTGACCAAATTTTTTTTCAGTGGACAACCTGAAAGTTTGGATGTATGTAATAAATACAGTAGGATGATTTTGCACATTTTTTCGAAGCAATGTCGTAATAATATAATAATAATACTTATTGTTGTTTGTGTCTAAAATGGATTAAGATTTTTCTGTCTGATTTATTATTATATAAATATTCTCCCCTGAAATTTAAAACGTAACTGTATGTGAATTAAAATAGTGATTTCTAACATATATATATATGTGTGTGTTAATATGAAGAGCGTATAGAATGTTAAAAATTGTTTTGTATACCTGATATTTCCAGTATGTCCACATATTGTATCTCAGTTTTTGTTAATAAAAGTTTTGAAAAAAAAGTATAGACTTTACATGATAAAGCATACATACAATGATTTTAATGGTTTTTATATATATAACAAATAACTTTGGCTGATTGAAGTAAAAACATCTTGAATATATGACGTAATGATGTGTGCTTTTATTATTGTGTATCAATTATTGGTATTTCAATACAGTTATGCAGTGGTATATAATGAAAGGATAAAATCTTCGTATGCATGAACTAGTAAGCAAAGATCACGGAAAATTAATAATTATTTTCAAAATATTAAGATTTTTCTGATTTATATTATATAAATACAAATAAAACGTAACTGTATGTGAATTAAAATAATTTCTAACATTGTAAATATGAAGAGCGATCAAACGTAGTTTACATGATAATTTTATATATATAACAAATAACCTGATTGAAGTAAAAACAGGAATATATGCTATGTGCTTTTTTATTTATCTTATTGGTATTTCAATACAGTTATGCAATATAATGAAAGTACTAGTAAGCAAAGATCACGGAAAATTAATAATTATTTTCATATCTATATATTAAAGTACAAACGTCATAGTTAATTTTCTCCGTGATTTATCTGAAAGTACATCTTTGACCCAGTGGCGATCGCCTCGGTATGGGTCGCCCGCATCTGTGACGTCATCAGTTCAAAGCTGCCAAAACAGCCCAACAGAAATATGCAAGAAAACCTCCAATGATATTCGAACTTTTCAGCTACTTATGTGCTATATGCCGTTGAGGTTTACTTCTGTATGTTAAACCAAAGTGCTACATAGATAAAGAAAGGACTTTTTACAATTTAAATTATGACATTACTTCGTTTCCTTTTTTCCTGGCAAATAATGCAGTGTATATAGACCCACGTTAAAATAATGCTTAGTGTGTTTGTCTTTATCCTTGTGAAAACGTTTTCGCTACTTTTTAGCGCCATCTTTTTACCGATTAAACGAATATTTTTATCTCAGACTTTACTACTTTGAATTCTGCGTTCAATTTGGATACAATTTTGTGACGTTGCAATCAATAGGGTCCAATTTAACGAGTTACGTTTATGTTGATTAGTAGTAGAAGGACAGGTAAAAATCGTACACTTTACTCGTAAATATCGCGGTATTTAGCCGGCCTAGCTTTTCAACCTTTCTTAATTTTGGATCATCAGAAATAACACTTTATCAATTTCTATTTTTGCTTAGGATACTCTTTTAGTTAGTCTTCTTTATATAATATATTGTTAGCTAAGAGTGACGGAAACTACGATTACCATTTTTTCTTTGTCCTTTTTAGACCATTGATGCATATTTTTATATATGGCATATGAATTATACACTACGTTAAGCATGTTTCTATGTACTGAAGTAAATATTGTGTTTTCTCGGAGGAAAAAACGTGCTTCTATCTAGTTTGTTTATTCATTTATTTCAAGTCATTGAATCAATATGTTTGTAAATTGTATTTGACATTTGCATTGTTAATTATAGGATACTTTAGTGTTCATGTGAATTCTCGGTGAAAAAAAAAGTGTTTTCTCGGTGAAATTATTTCAAGTTGATCACTACGACAGAACTTCACAGTCTAGAGAGAACTAAACGTTTCGGCAACCCGGCTGACTGAAGCTGTTCATTATCTGTGTGTGTGTTTTATGACATTATCCCCGTCCATACTATATATGTATATATCAGTAAACGATATTTTCTTACTGAATGAGCTCACCATAAATTTCGACTTCACAGAGTTCGAGGATAGCGTAGTCAGAATACCAAGTGTAAGGTTTGTTTGGTCGTCGATCAACATAGATAGTCAGGTAGATTGTGTTGCCTGTACACGATTGAATAGATGGAGCAAGGTCCATCGATTGCCATGTAGATGTTGTATCTGTATGACAGTTGTCACCGTTTCTCCAATCTGTTGTATTTGACAGGTATATCTGAAAGCCACCAAATCGCCTTGACTGTCCGTGGACTGAATCATCTATACAAAATAAATTAAAATGAAGTCAGATCAAATAATGCTTTGATAATATTTTTTGACGTAATCCTTGAGTTGAATATTACTTTGATTAAAACCCAACAATTATAACCATGCATTATATTTCGATAGTTTAGAGAACACACGCGCACACACAAATAACAAAAAATACCAATAAGTAAATAGAATCATAATCCAAACGTATATTCAACTATAAAGTTCTTTTTTACCGTTTATGAAGAAAGCGATAATATAACTTTGTTTATCGCAAAGTACATTTTTGGATGTTGAGCTCTTACTTATGCCGAAAGTTTACTTTTTACACGATGTTTCGGGTTTTCGTCTTTTCGGTATTTCGTTTTTCGTTTTGGCGATGTTTCGTCATTCCGTTTGGTTACAAGAGTAGACACGCCTATTTTGAACCGACAAGACCTCTATCTTGTATGTTTCATTGAACCGTGTACCTGTACGGTTTTTATATTACTTTCGTCGATTCGTGAGTGGACCCGATTGTTTTAAAAAAAAGAAATACGACACACAGATAACAATGAGACTGATATGAAAGTTCGATAGATAGACGTGTCGATTACTCAGGTTTGAGCGCTAAGCTTACTTGCACATACTTATTTAATGCCTGACGTTGGTCAAAAATTGTTTGATTGAAACATTATTAATGTATTGTAATTACTATCGCCTCCCCCCTTCTCTACCTGATGTTACTTTCTTCATTCAAAATATGAACATTTCTTCTGAGAACATTTCATTCATTTGTTTAATTAAAAAAAAAATCTTACGCACAGAGAAGAATATAGCAATTATGTTATTACCTTACATATAATTATATAGAATAGACTCATTGATAAATTTATCGTTTATAAAAAGAAACAGGTTCGATATTCCGAAGGTCCGTTACTCCGAAAACACCGCAAAACTGGATGAGAATTATTGTATATATTGTATTCTTATATATTTTATGCTAGTGTTACTTCATCAACGACGTAATTTTAAATTCTGAAATATCTGCATTTATCAATTTACAAATGAAAAAAAAATTAGCAAGCTTACAGTTTATCTCAGGAGGGGGTTCAAGTTATTCAGCTTTTCTGAGTGAAGGGGGATAACACTTATTGTGATATTACTGCGAACAGACCAGGCTGGACTCTATGCATCCGAATACCCCTCACCGCAGTATAGGACAGGTGTGGAAATTAAGTGTCGTACAGTGTTTGTGTAGTGTTCCTATGAGCAGAACGTTGAACTTGAACTTGCCCGACTGGATACAACCCGGGGTCCGAAGACTTTGTCAGGTATTTGTTTAAAGTTGTCTCAGAAAAGTGAACTAGTACTGTTGTCAGTTAATTATATTCTTTTGGACTGTATTAATTAATTGGAACATTAAGATTATGGCGAGTCAAGACCAGAGTACAGTCCATTTCAATATGGGATGAACATTTTAGGCAGCTTGACTGCAGCGATATGTGAATAATTCAATTTCAAATGATATGGTGCTCTATGCATTATGTTCAGTAGCAGCAGTTTAATGCAATACTATGGATGTTGGGTGTTTATGGCTAGTGTCCATGTCCAACTAAAGGATCTGAAACCGAAAGGAAAAGGGATTTTTGTTTTAGAAATTTTCTTTGATACAACTTGGGTTGTGTTGCATTGGTCTTATATCAATCAAATGCACAAATATTTAGTATATATTTGCTGTATGTGGATAAATATATGTATATATATATACTTAACAAAAAAAGAAAGGTAACACTACTTTATTCTGTGATTAATTGATTAACCCCTTCATCAATCATTACCAATCATGTACGAATAAAGTAATTGATCAATTCTGATAAAACTGCAGTCATGGTTCATTATAAAACTTTGCGTTCGGTTGATTTTATTCGACTGTAAAGGACGTTGGGGTCAATTTCAAAGGTAACACCATTAGTAACGGGTATGGCCACCGTTTGCGAAGTAAACAGCATTGCAGCGTCGTCGCATGGAACTCGTAAACCGGCGGATAATTCGAGGAGAGATGTTGTTCCATTCAGCGGTCAAGGCTTGGGCCAGCTCCTGCAAGTTTGACGGCTGATATTGACGTTCTCTCATGCGTCGCCCAAGAACGTCCCAGACATGCTCAATCGGTGACAAATCAGGTTATTTAGATGGCCAATCTAACACCTGTACGTTATTTTGCTGCAAGAAAGTTCTGCTGACGCGACTGGTGTGCGCTGGTGCGTTATCCTGTTGAAAAATGGCGCCAACACCATGGCGTCTTAAGAATAGCTGAACCACTGGTCTTAAAATTTCGTCCCGATATCGAATGCCGGTTAAATTGTCATTTAACACAACAAGCCTAGTACGAGTCCCCCCACAAATACCACCCCAAACCATTACTTTTCCGCCGCCAAAGCGATCCCGGTCTGCGACGCAGCAGTTCGCAAAATGCTCCCCTCGTCGCCTCCACACTCTGTGCCTTCCGTCACCGTGTTGCAGACAAAACCTTTACTCATCTGAAAACAGAACATTGTTCCATTGTCGTAAGGCCCAACGACGGTGAACACGGGTCCAGTTACGCCGATTATTACGGAGACGTCGCAACAAATTGGGTCCAGTGTAGGGACGCCGCGCTTTCAATTGATAGGCCCTCAACCTGTTGCGGACTGTTTGGGGAGCCACACGACGCCCAAACAATGTCCTTGTAGTCTCTACTGCGATTACGAATCGATTGCGCAAGTGTATCAATCGTATACGACGGTCATCCCTGGCGGTCGTTTTACGGGGTCGGCCGCTTCGGGGACGATCGGATGTTGACCCAGTTTGGTTTAAACGACTTACCAACTTGCAAATTGTCTTAACACTGCAACCAAAATGCCGTGCAACTCGACGGCGAGACTCCACAGCCTGGAGCATGCCTACAGCCCTTCTCTCTGTGCTTGTGACAGCCGGGGCATCATGATAAAGTTGATAAATAGCAAGATTCGGTGATTTCTAAGTCCTAAGGATCTAAGGAACAGTTGTCAGTTTGAATGTTTATGGAATTCAAGCGAAGATACAAGTTAGTCGCAGAAAACCTCGTGCAGCTCTTTCGCTGATACAGACTTTTACGCTTGAATGATTTTGGTAACCCCCTTGGATTTTGTAATGTAAAACATTACTATTTTCTAAGATTGCACAAACGTCATTTTGTTTTCACTCATTTACAGGTATTCGCCTAGGAAACATGTTAACCTTTCCTTTTTTGTTGAGTATATATAACAGCTTTATTGCTACAGTATGATACATTCTAACATGAATGGAAATTAGTAACACTTAGCGGAATCCGAATTCTACTTTTATGCAACTGGGTTCTTTTAATTAGAAGTAGTATTTTAAAGAGCACAGTATATCGATTCACGCAGCGTGCATTTTAGGTAAGAATGAGTCTTATCTTCAATTGATCAATATACATTCTGTGCAACACAATACTTTACGATTGATCAAACTGTTACTTATGATAATATCCGAACCTTTAATAGCAGAAAGTAGCAAAACGAAAAGACGAAAACCCACAAAAGCACCGAAGCAAAAGGACGAAGACACCAAACCAAGGTAAAAACCTATACCATTTTTATTTCACTCTTTGGTGTCTGTTTTATCTCGGTTTGGCGTCTTCACGTCGTTTCGTCTTTTTTCCCGGCGTCCTTTTGTGGGCAACAAAGCAAGATCATGAAATACGTATAAGCGACAACCTATATCAAAATATTTTTCAAGTAGAATATGCTGTAAGTTATTTGACCCATCCTCAATAATAGTTGCCGTTGAATCCACCAAACTCACTTGCTTTATCGAAGTTCCCAACTACTAAAAATCACATGACAAATTCGTAGGCCAAATGTTTGAAATACGACATGTCACATGCAGAAGTATATAAGCATCCTTTTTTGTCAAATCCATACATATAATATATATATACATACAACAAATCTAAAAAATATTACTTTAATTTCTTTAATAATGCATATAACAGGTAGTGCACTATTCATTTCTTGTGACGTTACTTTATTATCATCACCATTTTTGACTAGTCTGGTCCATTTAGACTATAATTTCTTCTATTTATATTGTATACTTTGTAAATTGAAAAAAAAATCATCGCTAGTAAACTTACAATAACGAGATAACGTAACTCTTAATAACTTTTCATGTATTACTAATCGGGTTTCGTAGAAAACAACACAAATGGATTATGCAATTGGTGGAGCTAACGTTTTATTTGACAAATGGTTATTCTATCTAACGTTTATAGAGATGCATTTTTTTCAGAATTGAACCAGAATATCTAAAACCATGTTGAGACATCGAGGGACGGCAAAAACTAACGCAAAAAAAAAAAAAAAAAAAAACAAACAAACAAAACAAAACAAAAAAAACTCAACGAAATTTTACTCGAAAAGTATAAATAATGACAAAAAGCTTAATACCGTGCTTATTATGCCTCATAGAAACACAACCTTACACTAAAAAATGATATGATACCATCTTGCTACAGGATGCTTATTACGTTTAAGTGACATGAACTAGAAAAGGAGATTTTCATATGCTTTGTTTCTTACTTACTTCTGTAGTATATCTTCACATGTTCAATAACGACTGGACCACCAAGGTCAATCCGCCACCAAGCTTCCGATAATGCTGGAGTTGTTTGTGTATGTATACAACTACCACTACTAAATTTTTGATCAGTCCTGCCATCTACTGCCTTTTCACTTATGGACGTCGCGGAATAATTGGAGCTTTGGCTTGTCTTGATATCTGGTTGACGGCATAAATTCACTAAAACGAAAAATGAAAATATATATATATTACATGTAGCACATTAAAGATCATGCAAGGTTTACCTAGCCAGAGCGAGGGTATGATAAAAATAGTATAGTCAACCCCTATCCATAAAACTTCTGTAAACCACTCTCTCCTATCACTTCATAATATTTCTTTTTATTAATATTTTCTACCCTTTCACGACTACTGAAAGGCCGAAAAGTCGCAATGCTGGACGAAAAATCCGTTAAAAATATATTCAATGATACAATGTTAACTTATCGTTATACGAACATGATAATGCGTTTTTTGTCATTCACAGTTTCGTTTATGATTGATGCGCTAATAACCTGTGTCAACCGATTTGTCTTCGTCTTGTTTGAACGTGGTCTTAAACACCAATTTGTGATTTTTTTTTTTTCACAAAAATTCTCTGGTTTATTGTAATAAGGTCAGTACCTAATCCTTTTAAATATAGAACCCTAAGTTGTCAACGCATCCAACTATTATCCAGTCCGAGTTCCCTTGACTCTAAAAAATGGACATTTGAACAGACAGATATCTAACGTGGAGTCAGCTCACCCATTCATGAAAACATGTTATTCCGTAACATTGCTTAGTGCCGTTAACGTTTGAGCGTTGCCGACGTCGTTTTTCATGGATATAAGTCTGGTGACCAAGGTAACAGGAATCAAAATTATTTGATCCGAGTATCACTCGAGTATCTACCATCCACCGGATGATCTCACAGTAACAACAACATACCATATACAGGACAGATGGGTATAAACAACACTAGAAGTAATCTTGCCATACGCGATCATAAAATTCAAGAACAAGAAGTTGAGACGCCGAAGAGGGATCGTATAGCCCAAGGAAGGATAGACAATGCAGAATGAGGAGATTCCTACATATTGGTCAACGATCCAGTCCAGTGCTCATGGAAGTGTTGACGGATTAGGGAAATCAGAAATCAGCAGCATGATAATATATGCTGTGAGTCCAGTTACAGTGTACTTTAGTCGGATTGTATAGAAAATCATCCAGACTGCAACTGCCAGTTTTATCTATAGTTAAGGAATTCAAGGTTGAAATGATTGCACTGTCTTTCAAGTTTAGAAGAGGAAACATCCTTTTAGATCATGTAATACAATAGGTGTAAACACACGTACTTGTTGGTGATTGCCATGTTGATTACATGTTTAATAATGATAATGTTACATGTACAAAATCAATATCTCATCAACATACATAGTTCATATATTCATATTAGTACTTCACATTGTGTCTCGTATAAGAAATGTCCATAGGGCTCTGAGCTTTCTCCCCGTTTGTCCATAGGGCTAGCTATAGGGCTTTATCCATAGGGCTCTGACTGCTCTCCTGCTCTCTCTATAGGGCTCCCCCAAGGCCGTCCCTCTAAACTAAAGGTCACCCCCCTTTATCTCACCCCTGACCAAGCTTGTCCGGCCATCCCCTAATATGGACTTCACTTGTTGCTAGATGATATGATTGTTGAAGTATAGCTACCTGTACTCGAGGTGCAAGGTTGCGATTCCCCCTGCTAATTTGTTACTTGAAATAAACACTAATAATTACTCTACTACTAGATGGCCACTGTCCGAAGTTTGATTATCAAGGAAGTGCAGTCTATAATTAATTAACTGACCAAAGCTGTACACTCACTGATAAGATTCTCGGAACCAAGACTACACCAACCTAAGTGTATATATACAGGTAATTATCCACACCCCTATGAACTACCTATATGCGTTATATTGATATACTATTGAACATTAAACGGACTATTGTTTAAGCTAACTTATTTCAACAATCCCATATGAAAATTCACCAGCATTTGCTTCCACTCTGGCCATATCTATTTGGCTGGATACCATTAGCATTATGCTCTTTGGCATTATCTGATTCATTCATTAGGAATCTGATGTTCCATTTCATGGCTGGTCTCAGTATATCGTATTATTTCCATGGTAGCTACTACAGTCGTTGAACTTGTGATGTCACAGCCAATAAGATCCCGATACCTCTGTACCTTTTGATCATATGGAATAATACTATATATCTATTTCTGTTTTCGTTCGAGGTACACATTAATATCTGTCTCTGAAGTAACATACTAAATCCAAACAAGGGAATTGTAGGGACAAATCGAAACTAAGTTCATGTATCTACGTGCATTGTACAAGTGTTTCGGAGTGTAATGTGATGCTAAATTACAGTCAATGAAGTTTGTCATATTCTTTGATCTATGGTATTAAAAGAAAGTAATGGGCAATGTTACACTTTTCATATGAATTAAGATTTTGCATACATATTCACTTTATCAGTTTATTTCCGGGAATCCTGTCGTTTTTCTCCTTATATTTTCATTTTATAAAACCTTTTTTATGGTATTAATTTTTATTTTGTTGAAATCCAACATTCCCTTTGCTCTTATTTCGTTTTACATACATGATTTACTGTAAAAGAATTTTCAAAATGGTGAAAGTTATTTTTATGCGAAATATTAATCATTTTCATGTGACCAGGAAGTCATAGCAGCGACTGAAATGATACAACCGATTAATAAAGTCCGAAAGATGGCGAGTTTCGTTGTTCTAGCTTGTGTCTAAATTGAAGATAAGGTCAATTAATCCCATTATAGTATTGACTGGAATCACTTTTCTATCTGTAAAACTGAGTAATCAGAATAAGAAACGGATAACTCGAATTTCTTTTGAATGTTTAGATTTTATTATCTATTATTATTATTTATGCTACATATTCATTTTCTAAACGTTATTGGCGATCATTTTGCAAAATGAAAATACCTAAGATTATCATTAATTTGGTTTGGATAAATTGAAAAAAACTTCGTTGTAGGAGTATTTTCTTTTCTTCAAAAGAGTTTACATTGTGCTATGATTTTGTTTATGTTTACTGACCTCGAAGAAAAAAGTAAGAATGAAGTGAGAATGTAACAAAATATCTTTCTCTTTGCAGAAAGAATTACCTGAGGAGATTTACGAATATCTGTGTATACGTTACACAAGCAAACACTCAATGACCTGGGACCGAAAATGAACAAACAAGAAAATATTCATAAAGAACATGCGATGTAAAATACGATCAGGATTGTATAGCGCAGGTATTTTGGTTTTCAATTGGATAGAAGCAAGCGCTATGTCAGATAATAATACCCGTATGACCTTCGTGTCGTAATTTCTTTATGTACATTAATAGGTAACTTGTTATCTTAATTACGTATACAAACAGGATCGCTATACCCATTCATGACATTAAATCCATGTTGTTTACATGTATAATATATATACACTGGACGTTGTAGTTTAGCTACAAAATCCGCAATAATAAGAGTTTACTAATGCAGAATATTCAAGATGTTTAAGATCAAAATACTGAACAAGATGCTGACAAAAATGTTAAACAATGAAAATAATATTCCAATCATTGAACAGAAACTAATTACGTAAACTCACAGTTTAACAAAGTGAAGACTGTTGATGGTATATAGATACATATGTTATTTAAAACTAGATATCAAGTTATATCTGAAACGTAATTTGATGTTTTAGAAATCTCCACTGAACAGAGGAAACATGTTATCATGAGACCAAGGGTATATACACCCAATATACACAACAATACACGAAGCCAGGTTGTACAGGTGTAGTAACATGGCTACATACCAGGAAGTAAATATTTTCTAAACAAGTATTTGCATAAAGAAATATTACACCTACCTGTACAACATTTTTTTAGATCGATTAACTTAGAATAACACGGCCACATTAACAAACCACTTAAAGGAATGTCAACAAACAGACAGCTCCGCAATCACATATACTGGCAATGCTTCTTATATCACATTTAAACGTGTTGAAATCGCCAAAGGTACACATATAACTCTTCTGAAATATTACAAACCAGTTGAAATGACTGAAATGGGTGTCCTAAATTATAAGCTGTCATTTATAATAGACCAAACATCAATATAGTAATTCAATAAATACTGAAAATGAGATATTGACACATAATTCCATCTTGTACAGCTTTTCTATGTTGTAATGCTGTCAACGTGAATGATCCATTCGAGCATTATTCGTTTAATGTTGCCTTGCATTTAAATTTCACCAGTGTTCACATGCAAATCACTGATTTCTACGTCTCGTACATCTCATTTTAAAATCGAGCAAGGAATAGTCAAGGTTAAACCATTCAAACCTTTCGTAGGTATATTTATAGCATTAAAGAAATTACAATACCTGATGTGTTGACTATCTCCAAGGTTATTACCAGATAGAGAATCACCAGCCAAATGTTTGAAACTTCCATCCTCCACCCAAACTGTTGTATAAATCAACAGGAGTGCCTCAGTCTACACATAATACACCTGAATCAATCAGGAAGTTTATTATTATCATGATATGCTTCAACAAGTAACTAGAACACTTTTTTAAAAAATGAAACTGGCCACAATCATATCAGAAAGTATGGGGAAATTAAACTATAGGAACGTCAAGCAAAGACATTTCACTGAACTAATAATCGCATTTATTTAATCTTCATAAAGACTTTTTTACGAGCAGCTGCTGTGGCTTTTTTTTATGAAAAAAAGTTATATTGAAATTCAAATCAGAGAAATGCGATACAACTAGATGATAGATACTACGAGAAAGTTTTACGGTCGTAATAAAAGAGAGATAAAATAATATTCCTGATCATATAACTATATATCGGTTTCTGATATGAAAAAAGACACGATTTACTTTGGTTGGCAAGAGACGACGAAGAAAAATTTGATAATTACCTTACCGTACCATCTGGTCATATTCTTTGTTCACGGGTCTCTTTGTTGCTCATACTTATAAATATCTTGTACATATAAATGCGTTTAATGTTCACACCGTATACTTTCACGGCCATAGGTTTAAACAAAGTACACACCATTGATTGCATTATTTATAACCATCATATACCGCTGGGTTAGGCGAGGAGAGTCAACCCTATTGATTAAAATATTAATGATTACAGGAGCATATCCCAGTCAAAGTCTGACGTATACATATTAAACTTTAAAATTATTTTTTTCTTAATGAATGAGGATGTGGTGTAACGTGTACTTGAACTTAAACAAACTTCGTAATACACTATCAGGTTTCCCCAGAACGAATCTCTGCTTACGTTTTACATATTATGCAACGTTAGGTGAAGGCAGTGTTTATATAGAAAGGTATTAAGTAGTACACACTTTATGTTACGTGTAAATCTTTGTTACTTCACTGTTGCTATGCACTGTAAAGAATAGAACTTCCAATTACTCCCCCCTCCCCTTGCCCAGTCTGCAGGACTCTGTGAAATATTCTTTTTGCAGGCTACTGTATAGGTTGTCTCCAATGAATTTGTTTCTTTAGCCTACCCCAGTTGCATCCCTTGAGTTTGTCGTTTCCTTTGGAGTTACCCATACCATAATATTCAATAATATATCACTGTTGACTTGTTATGAATTTTCATTAATTTGAAAATTAAAAAAAAAACAAACAAACAAAACAACTTGGATGTTGCCTCAGAGGTGGCTGCCATCAGTGATGGCTGCTGGCTGTATCATTTTATTTGCTGCTCTCAGTTAATTCTTCACTGATATGTTCTATACTATTTTGCAGCTTGTTTAAATTTTGCCAGATTTTATAACTTGCCAGCTCAGGAAATCACAGTTGACGTGTCGTGAACATTTAACTGCTTTTTTCACTTTATCTTTCATTTGAGAATCTTCACTTCATCCATTCTTATGATAAAAAAACTTTTTGTTTGTGTCTTTTGCCATGTACTGTTTATTACGGTGGTATATGTTGCTGTGCATTTACCTGATGTTGGTTTACATATGTAGTACGCGTTTTATTGCCACGGCGGTGCTGTCATCAGTGATTGCTGCTGGCTTTATTTGTTTTTGCTGCTCTTCACTGTTGTATTCTAAAATACAAAAGTCTACAGTTAGTTCTTATTGACTTGTATGTCTTATCGATATGGTTTACTTTTTTAATTTGACAGATATCTGTGAATTTTATATCATTTATGCAGCTTGATTGTCGTGCCAGTCATTTCCACTTTTAATGTAATTTGCGTACTTTGTCTTTGTTTACTGGCTGTTTCGAGTTATGTTACTTGTTCCTTCCTCCCTTTAACTTGTGTTCTTGAGGGATTAAATTGATACGTTACTCTTAAAATGATCTGGCACTGTAGGGTCTACCTTAGCCAGACTACTGTTCTGCATGATTCTACGCACCCGCTGGACTGAAACCAATGGCACTTTAGACCAAGGGCTGCCAGTTGATGGAACACCCCCTTTGTCAGTATCCTCCCTGGAGCTCCGGGATATGGCTCGGTAGGCATTCCAGAAGAGTCTGGAGGACGGACAGAGGATGACTGCTACCGACACATTTACAGAGCAGGCCTCACCCACCAGGCCCAAATACCCTCGGTGACTAGTGATAATACAGACACTATTTCATATGCACCCATGGCAACACACAGTGCTATAAGCGCGTCTTCAATTTTTTAGCATTGCCTTGGCCACAACACTACAGGTGACTCCCACAGAGCCAGTACATGGCAGTTTACTTCTTCTGGGATACCTTTAGGCTCTTTGGTGAATGGAAGAATTCAAGAAAAGATTTTGAATGATGTGTTTGTTGATTTGTCAATACTGACAAATCAGGAACCACTAAAATACGTCATCCTTGTCATTAGCGCAGTGGACGAATGCTTTTCATAAGTTAATTGCTAATCATACACAACGGTAGCCAGGGGATTTCCCAGCCCTGTTACAATGTATGTCTGTAGTCTGAAAGCTGGCCTTGAAGCAGGGATACTGGCAACTTTACGATAAATATTTTCGGCTTTTGAGGGCGCAAAACAAATCAGTGTCATGGGGGTCAAATGAGTGGGACTAGTAGCAGGATGCCATGACAAGTAGGGCCAAACACAGCTCTTCCCTTGCGCAACTCACCAAGGGTAACTGTAAGCGCTTCATCCAAAGGAGACCCTGTCATCGCTGTCGTTTTCCCCATAAGTGCCAAGGTCCACACCCCCTTCAATTTGCCCAGGTACGTTCGCCTCGGACCAGTCCTTTCCATTCCCTTACCAAAACCCCAACCCTCGATCGTCCTTTCGTCTAACTAACCACCATTTCCGGCACTCCAATACCTCCCCTGCCTTTCGTGGACATCGTCACCCCGTCATTCCTTCTGAGCTTCTGACAGTTTATGATGGATGGTTTTCGCCTGCATTGTCATCTGTCAAGCTATGAGATACAAAGCTCTTGTAGAAGCCTAAAATTTTGCAGCACATACCCTTCAGCAGTTACTGAAAAAGATTAACAAGGAACTTGACTACGGCAGACTTGCAGGTCCCTATGTGAACACTCCTTATGACCGTTTTCATGTCAGCCTCATTGGTGTCGTTGGAAAGAAAAACACAGGAAAATTTCGTCTCATCCATCATTTAAGTAAACACAAGGGTCGTCACTCAATGATTCGATTCCTAATTCTCATTGTAGAGTTGAATATTCGAAAATTCAGGATGTCATATCCTATATTGAAGAACAACAAACCCATTCTTTCTTAGCCAGATGGGTCATTGAGTCGGCTTTCTGCATAATACCGGTTCATCCTGTTGACCGCCCCTTTTGAGGTTTTCAGTGGAATTCACAATATTATTTTGATAAATGTCTACCAATGGGTTTGTCTGAATGTTGCACGATTTTTGAGGAATTGATTAGAATGGATGGGTTTCAGTATAGTGCATGTTTTAGATGACTTTCTATTCATTGTACCTTCAAAGTACAGGTGTGATAGAATTTTGTCTGATTTTCAAAACGTGTGCCAAATAATTGGGCTTCCTATTGCCCCAGATCAGGTCTCACCATTGTAGGCGTTACTCTTGACACATTGAAGTATAAGGCACGTTTACCTCCAGACAAAGTGCGTTATTGCAAAGAAATCACTAGAGCATTCCAGTCTCGAAAGAAAGTTACCTTAAAAGAAATTAAATCCCTTATCGGTACCTTACTTCAGTGGTTAGTACAGGTCGTCCATTTTTACGAAGGTTATTTGACCTGACAATTGGGGTCCAAAAAACCGTATTTTAAAGTTAAACTTACGTCTGAGGGCAGAGCATATTTGAACACTTTTAATGGTAGGAACTTTTTCCTTGAGGAAAAACGGTTGTACAGCGATCATGTCCAATTTCCTACCGACGTATGTTCGACGTTAGGTTTTGGTGCTATGTTTGGGGAAAAGTGGTTTTCTGGGGAAGGAGTACTTGAGGTCAAAAGTCACAATTTACCTATCTCATTCTTAGAGTTCTACCCAATCGTTGCAGCTTTACTTACCTGGGGAGACAATTTACAAGACTGGTAATTTGGCCTTAGTGCCGGTGATCAACACGCAAACAGCCAAAATCAAGATTTTGATGCGTTTGTTGTGCATGCATGGGTTGTTCTGCCTCAAGCATAACAATTTATTCAAGGCCTTTCATGTTCCTGGAAAACATAATGATAAAGCTGATGCTTTATCTCGTTTACAGGTAGACAAGTTTAAACCATTACATCCATGTGCCTCAGCGGCCCCCTCTCAAGTTCCCATATCGATGGCTCAAGAGAAGTTACTTCTACCCTTACCTCCCTTTTGGCGTCATCCTTAGCACCTTCAACTCATAGAATGTATTCACGGATATGGCGGATTCTCAGTGACTTTGCAGCTAATGTTCTAAACTCTCCCATAGTCGTACCTGTTCCTTTTTCGGTTATTGCTCTCTAAGTAGCTCATGCACATTATCTTAAGATTGTTTCAACAACTAATTCCCACATGCCTGCTATAGCATATATACATAATATTTTGATCATTCAGATCCAACAAAAGCTTTCATTGTTCAAAAAGCCCTACAAGGATCAGCACACATATCCCCATCGTTCGATATTCGACTTCCCATCACAGAACAGATTTTATCTACACTTATTTAGGCCCTGCACAATACGGTTAGTTTGACCTTTGACAAAGTTTTATTTAAGACCGTTTTTACTACAGCCTTGCACGTATTGGCGGGTTTTTGCCGAGTCAGTTTTCTTAGCATTCACGAGTGTTACAAATCGGTGACATAGAATTTACATAACACGAAAACCACCTCCAACTGTGTATTTGTGTCCGTACCTTCAAGCATAATCAAAGTGGAAAGCCTCATACAGTCCCAGTTGCGAGCTGCAGCAATAAAGATGTGTGTCCCGTTGAGGCTTTGTTAGACTACCTCAAATTACGAGGTCCCAAATCTGGGGTCTTATTCAAGAATAGCCTTGGTATACCGTTACAACGGAAATATTTTGATAATGTCACGAAGAAGTGCCTGCTTGTGGCTGAGCTTGATAGTTCACGTTACAAAGGGCATAGCTTCAGGATAGGTGGAGCGACATTTGCTGCATATAAGGGAATGTCAGAATCACAAATTCGTATGTTAGGCAGGTGGCATTCTGATTCTTTTAAAAAGTACATTCGTACACCTGCTTTATCTAACTGAAGACTAATCATTAATTAGCATTACAACACCACCTGCTACTTGTACCTCTCTGTTTTGTTGCAGGGGTCACATCATGGAGAGTTGCGTGGAGTTATCTGGTGATAGTGTTGTTAGGCTCCACTAAACAGGTTGGTGTCCAGGACACCGTACATGTACCTCTCCTTTTTGATGTGGGGTTCTCTTAAGGGAGAGTTGCATGTGGGTCATGCTAATAGGGTTGTTACTTAGGGTATTATATTTTCTATGCTTGTGATAACTATCATTTCGGAGTTGTGGGTTACTACAGGATTCAAATATGTTTTCGCATAACACTTCTCCAATTAATAATTTGAAGACAACGACTCACTATTCCGTTATATTAATTATTGTTTGCGCGTGTTTGAATCGAAGCAGTTTAAAGTTTTTGCTGAGAAAATGACGCATGTTCAGAAGTCAAACTGGTGTTAGTTTTTCCGTTTGGCGTCGGTTGTTTTTTTCTGTTCCCCAATATAGAGTATTTGGGAAATTAGACAGGGCTCAATGGCCCCTATTTTGAGTTTGTCATTTGCAATTTATTTATAATTATTGTAATGATAGATATCAAATATCAAAGGAGTTTCAAATTGAATTTCCCTAATTTAAGAGGATTCAATGCGGCACAATCTAAACATGATTTGATACTAAATTAGGAGTATCCTAACTATGTTTTTGCTAAAACATAACTACCCAGAATAAAAAATAACAACGAAAAAGACAATTCAAATAGCCATACAATACGTCAGCGAGAAGTATACATGTTTACACAAACTTCCCTACCTACCAGATCAATAGTTAGCTACATATATATAATTAACAGGCACTGTGGAAAATGATTGAGAAACTCAGCTACACGCAGTTGCTTTGGACGATATGAAAAAAAAGAAAGCTTTCGCCTTGATATTTTATATGCATGTAATACATGTAAGTTATAAACGTGATTGTAGCAATTATCATGATCAGATATGATCCTGACAAACATTTACATAAAGGAAAAAAATAAACCAATATGTGTTTGACGTGCAAGATGAAGGCCGATATGATTGACATATCCAATATTCTGTCACAATTACTATCCTATCTGCTTACCAGTCTACTAAATTTATTCATACAACATGCTTATCGCTCATTACAATCAGCCTATCTTATCTAAAGAGCCAGACCCATTCCTCGACCGATATTATTTCATATTAAAAATCATGATTTTCTATTTTTTCTCGGGCAGCAAACGCTCTGACTAACCCTGTAATACCGCAATTTTAAAGTAAATCGCTACCAATCTAACGTAATAAATAGTTTTGAAAATGAATTCGAAACGACTCAGTGCTAATTCATAATTATGCTGTAAATAAATCTGCCGTGTTCCAACATGGCAGAAAGCGTGCGATGGAAGCGGGGAAGAAAACGTGTTTGAGGGCCTCTTTGCAATTAATCGTAGTTTTTCCGTAATCTGCACGTTATTTTTTGTGTCATATCTAAGCGTTGAAAAATGTGATCAATACATACGTTAGATGATATATATATAGAGTATTGATTGCATTTATCGGTAAAATCTCGTTACAAGCGATGTCACATTGACGTACTACTCACCTCTTCCTCCATTTTTCTTTTGGTTCTGATCGCGTCTGAACGTATCACGTGGCTTTTCCTCATCAATATTTATATCCCGGTGTTGATTAATTAGACTAATTCCGGCACCGATGTCTCCGGTACCCTTTCAACTTCAATTTCGAAACTTTATACAAGTCTTTATTTATGTGTTATCTATTAATATACAACAACATTTCCAGTCAATAAAATATGAAAACAAAAAATCTATATTGGAGTGGGTCTGGCTCTTTAAATCAAAAGGAACACTAAAATTCGTCTCCTTATAATAATGTAACAACTAAAACAACGCATTTCATGTATTGATGTGATTTTTTTCTAGGTTACATATAATCAATTCGGTTACAAACAAATGTATCGTTATGTTTTGAAGCAGCTTAACATCCAAATCCTTACCAAATTAAGAAAAAAAATGCTTTTAAACAAAATGTAATTCTAACAACAAATTGTTATACTTGCAGTATACAGTGAAATCACACTTCAAGTTCGAGCTATATTTAGAACAATACTATGATCGTCTAAATTCTCAAGCAATCAACTGACCTCGGTGAATTACGAATGTTTATTTACTGTATAAGACTTTACATGGAATCATAGATATAGGTTTTACACATTCTGCGTCAGGTGTCGGATAATGAACTTACATGTACACCGACCACTGTCAGGGTGACACAGATTGTTAACACAGGTTGTATCACAGATGGAATCACAGTTGTTGTTACCATATTTCCCCAGTGGACAGCCTGAAAGTTATATCGCTAATATCTACTCAGGAGCACAGGAAACATTACTACACTAATATGATTTATTTATACATACTACAGTATCAATTTATTGTTGTTGTTGTTGTTGTTGTTGTTGTTGTTGTTGTTGTTGTTGTTGTTGTTGTTGTTAAATCTAAACACAGTTGTGAGGTGGTATATGATGGATGGACCTATCTTTCGTGGCATCTTAAAAAGATTTTCTTCCAAAACCGTAAACAAAGGGTTGAGTTTTTGTTCTTGTTAACACGTTTTACGTATATTTGAAAAAAGATAAGCTACATTATTAATAATTTGATGTCGTTCATGTAAACTCTAGATAAAATGTCCTCTTGTTTTTGTGTCGGACGAGTCCTCTTAATGCATGCTTCAATCTAGTTTATTTATTCTTTTAATCAAACCATTGTTTCAATATGTTTGTATATTGTATACGGCATTTGAATTGTTAATTACTTATAACATCTTTTTGTGTTCATGTGATTTCTCGGCTTAAAAGAAAGTATTTTCGTCGTGAAGGTATTCCAAGTTGATCACTACCACAGAACTTCACAGTCTAGAGTGAACTAAACGTTTCGGCAACCCAGTTGACTGAAGCTGTTCATTTCTTAAATACGGTTTTTTTAGTGGGTATGTTTTACGGCATTATTCCCATACTATACACATATCAGTAAACGATTTTTTTCTTACTGAATGAGCTCACAATAAATTTCGACTTCACAGAGTTCGAGCATAGCGATGTCAGAATACCAAATGTAAGGTGTGTTTGGTCGTCGATCAACATAAATAGTCAGGTAGATTGTGTTGCCTGTACACGATGGAATTAATTGAGCAAAATCTGTCGAATTCCATGTAGATGTTGTATCTGTATGACAGTTGTCATCGTTTCTCCAATCTGTTGTATTTAACAGGTATATCTGAAAGTCACCAAATCGCCCTGACCGTTCTTTGACTACAATATCTGTGCGAAATAAAGTAACAGTAAATCAAATAAAATAATGCTTTGATAATAGTTCTTTACGTTATCCTCGTGTTAGATATTACTTTTATCAAAACCCAACAATTATAACCATGCATTATATTTCGATAGTTTAGAGACCACACGTGTTTGTTTATCGTACACTTTTTGCTTTGGCGGGTTTTCATTTTTTTCATCTATTCGTTCTGTTGCCTTTCCGTTTGGGTACCTGGGTAGACACGTCTATTTGAACTGACGTGACTTCTATTTTATTTGTTCAATCAAGCGTGAAGTCATTGGTATTGATGATCTACCAGTCACCCAGTCTGTA